TTTCGGAACCAAAATGTAAATTTCGGATCGGATTGATAAAGTTGTTTCGTAGTCGGATCGGACTTCGATATCAGAAATAAAATGAATTAATTATCCATGCACTATCGCCTCTTGACATGTATTTCTTGCTTTTATATTTATTTGGTTAAATATTTCAACTTGAATGAGAAATTTATTTTATTAAAGAATTATTCGGATCGGATTGGAATTCTTTTTCAAAACTCGGATCGGATTAGATAATTTCGGATCGGATTTTAAACATTAGGCAATTGTCGGATTATAAACGTCCAATCCGATCCGATGCACACCTGTAATCTATATTGTCAGTATTTTAAAGGTATATTATTTAACTGATAAAGGTGTGCATGATTTTGAAAAGAGAATGATTCTGATCAGCAAATTATTGTAAGGGCTGCTGCCTCCAGTCCCCCCACCCTCCCCCCGACTGCTACGGCCCTCAGAAGTAATAAACCGAAAAAATTTTTACCGATTTACGATTTATTTCACGTTATCCATGTAAATGCCGTTATTTCGTAAATCAGTTTTATACCAATGATTTATACTGACAATACCATTTTATAATATTTTCTCTGTTTAAACAGCTAAAATTTTGTTATACTATTATTGCCGTAATTTTCCGAATGGCCAACCCAATTTTCCGAATGTGTTAATTCTACAAAAGTTGGGGGGAGGGGTTAACCACCCCCCAATACCCCCCTCGCTACGGCCCTGGCCATACCTGTTGTTGTTGTGTGTACTGTTGAGAATTTTATGATGAAACTAAGCACGGCCGTAGCTAGACGCGATAATTGGGGAAGGTGCATATTCATATATTCATGTTCACATACCGTAAAAATCATAGATATAGGAGATCTACAATCTTGGACATAACTGGTTGAGACTATTTTCCCCCCATAAAGAATTCGCGTATTTTTATGATAAACTCCATGTTGAATCATGTTGCCATTCTTAAACCCCCGCTCCCCCAACTCAATGTTGAGCTTGTATCATGGTATATTACCAAAAGTTGTTTCGGCGTTGTTCACAACATTGAAGGGGGGGGGGGGGGGAGACAAAGTTTGTTTTGTCAATGTTCAATAACTTTGTAATATTGGCTGGAATGGTCTCAAGGGTTTTGTCCAAGATTGTAGCTTCGCCACTGCTTAGTAGATAACTTCACATTCACTCGCACGCACGTAGAAATAGAACTAAGACGTTACACCAACATTCGTGTCTGCGTATTCTTTTCAAGTAATTGATGTACTATATAGTCTATATTGAAAAGTTGATTACACGGAGAGTTCCACCCATGATGAATTTAAACCCAGATAACTGAGCTGAAATTGTTTCACGATAACGTGGCAAGTTCATCTTATATAGGGCTGAGCTAAAATTTCATCACAAACGTGGGTGAAATCTCAACCCATGCTGAAACGATCAAGTAAAGTCTTAAAATAGAGCTTTTTCGCTTCTTCAAGGAATTTAAAAATTAGTTTATGTCTATTATTTTGATTCTCCGGGAGAGTGGTTGCATTTAGAAAGAGAACAGACAGAAATAAAGCCACTTAAGTTAAACGATTTTTTGTACATTTCATGACGATTTTCTGCCCGGTCAACTGTGATGAGATCTTTAGATCGGGAAGCTTAAAAACCGGGTTGAAATTTCGGTCTGGGTCGACAGTTTATTTTAATTGAATGCAAGCTAGCACTCGCAGCGAGACTGGGAGTTGGTTTTGCGATGAGTGGAAAAGATCCTGCGATCTGCATGAACGGCTCAGGGTGAAAAGGCGTTATATAATAACTACAGTGAAACACGCAATTTGATTGGTCAACAGCCGTGCAGGTCAGACAATCCTGCACGGGAAATTCTGAACAGAAATTCTTGCACATAATTTTACAAATATACTCGCATTGTAAAGTTTCATTGTACCATACCTTTCGACCTTGAAGTAAGTTTGCAATTATTGAGTCGTTGGTTTAGTTGTATGAATAAATTTCTGATCGATACATTGCTGTTCAGCAAGTAGCAACGCGTAGCGTTGAAATTCATCAGACCATGGCAAGTACAACATCTCTCGCTTCAAAGTTCAAACGCTTCGCAATCTTCAAGTATTCAGGTCGAGAATCTTCAAAACTACTTTGGCTCTCTGTTTAGCGGGTTTTCCATTTCAAATTTCGTATATTTTATCGAAAAAGTCTCCGTATTTTCGCTGTATATTTTCGCGAATTTACGATCAAATTCTGTTCACATTTGTTGTTGTTTTCAATAGCGTGGAGTAGCGATTCTCCGATTGGTTAATTCACGATTGTTGTGAGAACTGCACATTTCATCAGTAATTTTAATCAAGTCAACCGTCGTTTTACTGTTAAGTAGTAATTTTATAAAACAATTACCAAATGGTTTTCCCGTGCAGGATAGCATGATCCATGCACTTGGGATGTTGCTCGACTTTCGGAAAGCGTAAAAATACACTCGCCTACGGCTCGTGTATTTTCCGAAAGTCTCGCAACATCCCGCGTGCATGGATCACGCAATCCTGTAGAGCTAGGGTCCTGAAGGGCTAAATAGGGACGGCGCTAGACCTCTTTGAATGGGGTGGGGGTGTAAGTGAATTTTGCCGAGTTATCAAGGCAATTTTGCCGAGTCACTACAACCACTAATTAATATTTCTTTTCCCAAAAGTTTGGCGAGGAAGTAGCGGCGGTACAACATCAAAATTTTTTTCCGGACAACATATTTCTCGATCTTATTTTGTATTTAACCGTCGTTCTTCGTTGCATTTTAATTTCCCCTGATTTTTTCGTAAATTTCTCCACATTTTAGCTATCATTCTTAATTTTTAATCGCGGTGTCACTCAAATATTTTATTTTTCTGCTGACTACCTGATGACTGGGGGGATGTTACACCCGCCGCACCCTCCCCCCTTTAGCGCCGACCCTGGAGGTAAAATTTTATGTAGTTTATATTTTTATGTAATTTTTTGAAAGGTCGACCCGCGTGTGAAAATCTTTCACCCTCGCGCATGGCGGTCGGGCGACATCGGTACATACACGCCCGATAGTGAAAGATTTTCACGCGCGAGCTTTCGAAACTTTTCCAAGCTATTAAGGCCTGATTCCACGAGCGCTTTTTGTCGGCGAAATGCGAAATATTTCGCCTGTTTCTTTTGAATTGCGACTACTCGAATAAATTATTTCTACTTGATGCTCACAATTCAAAAGAAACAGGCGAAATATTTCGCATTTCGCCGAGAAAAAGCGCCCGTGGAATCAGGCCTTGAGACTACATAAAAGAGACAAATATACCACACATTTTTGGGCTGCTATGGGAAGACTCCATATTCTGCCCTTTTCCCGTTGAGGCAATTTAATTTGCTGCTATTGCAAGTCCACCAGTGACAGAAAATTACACTGTCAGGTATTTATAGACTTTAAACCTTTTACTTCAATACTTCATGAAGTGAAACACTTGCTCTGCGATTTGGTTAAAAAAATGGCTGAGAATCTAGCCCCCCTTCAGGACCGTTACATCGATCCCCAGGGTGTATCAGAAAAGGTAAATTAAACTTTAGCATGTTATCGTGCGTAGAGTATGCCTATCAGTATAGAGTTACGTTTTTAACTCTTTCAAATTGTTAAGTGTTTCAACCACGAATGTTCGCTGATCACCACCTTTATACTTGCAATTGCACTTTATAAATGCCCATACGTTACGCCATCTTGAAATTATTTCGAAATGAAATTATTACAATACTTAGTTTTCTACTTCTAGAATTTCTATTCAAAAAATTATGAAGGCTTCATGTAAGAAATTTATGCATAATTATTTACAATCACATGTGTAATTTTAATCCCTTATATTTACAACCCCATTTAATGAAATCCTAAGGTTAGAAGACAGCATGCCTTTCAAAAATATTTTGGTAAAGTAGGTAAGCGCCACTGATCTGGAAAGACTGGATAGAACATCCTTTTGAAAGATTTGCAAACCTCTTCCAATTAACAATTGGTCGCCAAAAGCCAGGTGATTACTTCTGTGTAAAGTATATCGTCCGTGAAAATCAAAATAAAGAAAGGTACACTAAAGGGAATATATTTTCGAATTTAAAGCGAGTCAACCATGTGGAAACTAACTGTTTTTTGGGCGACTTTTTGCATATTCAAAGGGGATGATTGAACATGCAGTTCAATACTTTCATATGCATATTCTTCCACGTTCAGCTACAATTTATCCCGGCGCAGAAAGCGTCATATGGACGCGCAGTCGAGACTCTGGCTGATATGAAATGGCACAATTGGCTGATATGAAAGGCTATACTGACGACCAGTTTATCTGCAGACAAATGTGCCTTTCACACCAGTAACCAAAAACTAGCTGCAAGAACCCCAGTAACACCAGAACCAATTTATGGCGGTCACAATATCAGATGGACGACCACTAGTTTTGAGATCAGTGGCACTTACAAACCTAATACCTCGTAATTAATTTCAATATATAGTTAATAGAAGAGATGGTTTGGAAATTCATTAGAATAACAATATAACTCATCATCTATGTTAGTCAACGTTTATGCAAAATATCATCACGTATTGTATTTTTATATATTTCAAATCCACCAATAGCAATTTTAAGTTACCCAATTGTTCAAGTCACCGATAGCTAACTTTCCTAAAACATTGCCATTAGTTGGTTGGGCAAAAATACAAAATGCACGTGACGATCGATGAAGGACCATATTTTGCATAAACCTAAACAAAAACATACATGAGTTAATATGTAACTTATATTATTATTCTAATGAGTTTCCAAACCACCTCTTCTATTATAACTATGACTTCGCCGCAGAGAACTTTGTACAAACGAGGAATCACGGAAAAGCTTGCCAAAGAGTTGCCTGCGAAGAGGCTAGAATGCAATTCATGCGCAACATTTACGCATTGCTCCACTGTTCATCGGCGGTATAACAACTACGCATGCGCCAGCACGTCCAGTATTTAAACCCGTTACTTGTTCCCACTCATTCTTGACTGGATCATAACGTTCAACATCATTCAAATATTTAGTTCCATCATAACCTCCTACAGCATAAATACTGTTTCCAAGCCACGAGGCCCCCACAGCATCCCGGCAGTTAAGCATTGGCGCAAGCATTGTCCACTCATCGGTTTTCGGGTTGTATCTTTCCACTGAATCAAATTGTCTTGACGTGTCTTGACTGGCAGGAGCATCGTGGCCGCCAACGGCGTAGAGAAATCCATCGAGAACTGTCACACCTACGCCTGGAAATAAGAAAACAACCTATTTTAACGAATAGTGAAACTAAAGAATGAAGAGAAAGTAAGAGAACACAATAGTGACCATGAGTCATGATCAGTTTCCCTGATGATGGCTCTGAAATAGAGACGAAAGTATAAGAAGTCCCCGAATATTCCATAGAATATTTTGGACACAGGGGTGCGGATATAATCCGTCTTTTTCATCTTTTAAATAATGAAATAAATAATGAAACAATTATTGAATCCGGTTTTCACAAGATATAAAGAATCATCAAGCTCTCGGTTTATGTTATCAACTCAGCCTTTGGCATCGGTTGATAACACAAACTTCTGGCTTGATAATTTTTCATATCGTGCATGGTCAACCTCATTCAGTAATCAACAATTATTCGCCTCAGGCTCGGTGATTATCGGGGAATATTCGCCGAGACGATGTCGAGGTGAATATCCCCCAATAATCACCGAGCCTGAGGCGAATAATTGTTTTAGTATTTTTACACAAGTCTCTTGTGTGTTTTTTTGGGACTGAATTTATTTTAATTTCGCTTATTTCTTTATCAGTAACTTTCACTGACAAAACGGCTAGCCGACTGGAACTGGCGTCCAATAGCTCCTTCAATTTCCGCCATCTTTGCAAGGACTTTGCCGAAATTTCGTATTTTGACATCGATTTAAAGAATAACACTATGGTTTTATGAACTGATAACTTGGTTGGCGATACGATCCGTTAGAAAGACTGGAATTAACTGGGGGAAATGGTATAAAAGCTGTTTACGACATTCAGAGCTATTGGATGTCAATGGCCGCCATCTTGGCAGCACTGTTCTCATAGGCCGAATGACTGAAGTTCTTGCTCCAGATATCTATGGAGCTCACTGATCTGTATAGTGTAATATGTGTACTGTACTAGCTATGACGGTTATTTTATTCCAATCTAGCCTTTTCTAGCATTTTTTAACACATTTCTAAATACTTTTCTTTCCACTATAATTATTCCCTATTTTTTCTTGTAATGTTTGTGATGTCGAGCACATCTGTGGTACCGTATACCGTTGTAGCAATAATCAAATTTACCTCCACGTCGATGTATCATTGAAGAGACCAACGTCCATTTATTTGTGTGTGGGTCATAAACTTCAGCAGAACTCAAACAAGAACATCCATCTCTTCCTCCTACAGCATAGAGTTTACCATCAAGAACGGCTACACCAACAGTACTTCGCGATGTACTCATTGCCGCAATAAAACTCCACTGACGTGTCTGAGGATCATATCTGAATGATACGAGTGGAATAAGAAATTATAAGACTTTAAAATTCCAAATGAATACAGAACAATATATATAGTACAGATGCAGTATGCCCAATCCAAATACGAGAGCAACCTTGTAGAGGAAAGAGCGTGGGTATACGACGGCTGGATCGGATTTCAATTACTGCAGTTCCAGTATAAGAAGGCCAAGTAAAAAAATAATTGAAGATGTACAGTATAATAATATAATATAATAATATATAATTTCATTCTTCTTGTGTTTTGTTTTGTTTTGTTTTGTTTAGGTACGTTTATTTAGGTATGTAGCCTGCTCGCAGACGTTGTATTTCTTACGCCAAACGACGTTAGTTTTTCGTCGTTTGGCGTTAAGGCCCATTTACACGGGCGATTTTTGCTGCGATTTTCTCCTTTTGGAGGATGTGAAGGAGTAGACCAGTTATAAATGTTCCAGGTTATGAAATCTATAACAACATCATTAATTAAGTAATCTACTCCTTCACATCCTCCAAAAGGATGAGATCTGCATCTGATGAGAGCCTGCATCGATGACTAATGAATTTGAATATCCGCGTCTCAAATCGTGACGCGAAATTCTCATTGGTCAGATGCTATAATTTATATGTTTCCGCTGAGCTCTATATATGTCAACTGCTGAAGCACTATGCATAAAAAACACATTAACTGATCAAATTGGTCTTGGTCATCTTATCTCAAAGCTCTGTTTTGAGAAAACAGTATTTAAAACATTTAAACTTTTGCTTGAATATCTTATATTTCGAAAAACAGTATAAACTGTACGGTCTAAATTTAGTTTGCACGGTTTAAATTTAGTTTGCACGAAAGTTGTAAACAACACCATATAAGGATAGACATTCCATATTTGGAAAAACGAACGTTACGGGGCAGATATTCAAATTCATTAGTCATCGATGCAGGCTCTCATTTCACCTTGAGAGCCTGGCTATCTGCGAACAGGCTAGTTCATGTGATGCCATTTGAATAAATGAATTACAGTAATGAACAACTTTATTTAAAGAGGGCAAAAATACATGACAGCAATATACATGTAACTGAAAAACCTGTGGCCCTGATATACAACAAAGTTATTAATTCTACTTTAAAACGTCTAAAAACTACTTTGAATTAAGAAAAATATATAAAAGATAAATTATACAATTTACTGATCACAATAATTCAAAGCGATCGATACCTTTATACGATTCTAAGAAACAGTTTTTAAGAGAAAACTGAAAGGGATAACGCTTCGTATTCTGGCGTATAAAAATTATTGCTGAAGCCAGAATTGCTCTTCATTTAGTTTATGGCGATATTTGAAAGGCAACCACTTTGTGCATACTTATTTGAATACATGCGCCGGAATAAGAATCGTACACGACAAATCGCAGCGTGTAAACGTATCCTTGTCTTGTTTCAGACAATATATAATTAATATAAGTAAGTAAAATTCTAGTCTGTCGACCCACATAATAAATTGAACAGAGATTTGCACTTCCAGGTGTACCAGATTGCATGTACCATTATTTCAATAGGAATAAATAATAAACAAATGATGTAAACAAAACACGGACATGAGCACAACGGATTTGACGCCACCTTAAATTAAACTGACCCATACTGTACTTATGATCTGATTTCGCGTCCTGCGCGCCGATTTGAATATATGAAATCTGAAGTCAATATGGGATTCCATTAAAGTGACCGCATAGTGCATATGAGTTAAAATAAAATTAATCGATGGGCTCCGAATATCATTTACCTTTCAACTGAATTGAGATAGGACCAACCATCATGGCCGCCAACTGCATAAAGCGGTCCACCAAGAACACCAACGCCTAAACCATGACGATGGATGTTCATTGGTGTAACCGCAGTTTTGTCTTTCGTCTGTGGATCAAAGCAATCAACTGTGTTCAACGTTTTCAAACCATCTCGCCCTCCAACGATGAAAAGTTTGTCATCCAACACAGCTACACCAAACTGCAGCCGTTTGTTTCCAATCGTCGCGACAGGTGTCCAAGCATTGCGCCGTAAGTTGTAGCACTCAATGCTTATTGCGCCTTTTGGCCCTTCTGTGCTGTTACTTGCTGGGTAATAAAAGGTTACACAATATTTTGAACGGTCTGTGCCAGGGTAGATAGTAATAATAACACCAGAAAACTGGATTGCGAGGGATTCAACTAGTTGAAAAATACAATTATAATATAGCATTTGTAAATTCTGAACGCTGATTGGCTAAGAGCCGTGTTGATATTTCTCGATGTCAACACGAAAATGTCGGAAAATTTCTTTCTTTAAGTTTCTTTGTGCTATATTATAAAACAAATATAAAACATTTTTTCCGTATTGATATACAGTTATATCAACACTCGTGAAAATTGGAAAACTCGAAATTGTGTGAAAACACTCCGCCCTTCGGGCGTCGTGTTTCCACACAATTTCTCGTTTTCCCAATTTCCACTCGTGTTGATATAACTGTATATGAACACGGAAAATGTTTTATATTTGTTAAGTAAAACTTCGACATTTGGAGTGAAGGTCATTCGTCGGGAAGTTAGTACCAACATGTCGAAGTTTTAGCTGTATTTTTCAGGTAGTTCACTCCCTTGCAATCCGCAGGTTTCTGGCATACAATATTTCCTAGATACCATGACCAATACTAAGACATGAAGAAAATTCAGACGAATGTAAAGTATAGAGCAATAAACTGTAGGTCTAATAGTGTTACAGTGGCCGATTTCACCGTATTGCAATTTTTAAAAAAAACCTTCCTTCGATGTAAAGTCAGGCTTCGATTTGCAAAAACAGATTTAAATTTTCGCATCGCTACGAGAATTTTTGAGTTTGAAAAATTTAATGTTACCGCAGAAAAACATAACTTATACATAATAAAAACAAACAAGAAAAGTACAGTAAACCTTAAAAAAACAAATTTGGTCGGCCATACTGGATAGACGACAACAAACATTTTCTCTGTATAGTTTTATACATTAATTTAAAAAGAATACATCTAGTCCTTTCAAACTCAAACTTTGTCGCTGCGATGTTTTCATAGTCTTGTAGTCTTTCAAATCTCTTCCCCCCCGGTTTTCGTCTGATTCTCGTTTCGCAGGGAAAATATTAAAACTTCAACCAGCCAATCAGAGAGTTTCACCTTGTGACGTAAGGCAGGAACCATCATCCTGCACAGTTTTTGACAAAATTCAGGCAAAAATTTGTCGTTAAGTCAATAAATGTTTTAAACCAGATCGATTCGACAGATTTAAACCTGTGATGTACTCTTGGTTTCACTTCAAACATCTTTACATTTTAAATTTATTACTGGAACATAATCTCGGATAATTGGAAACTCTTAATTTTGGCGGCATGCATGCATGCATGCACTTTTGGTCTTGATTCCTTCTGTTCGAATATTCACTTAGACCTCATACAGTTGGACTAAAATTTAGCTGAAATCTTTTATAACTGTATATACTGTACTTATACAGTATCATTGCTAAGCATAAAAACAAACATGTAAAACGGTACGTTCATTAGTGTCCTCAGAGTTCGTTGTCTCAAAATTGTTTCAAAAGTTTTTTCTGCTCATTTTCAAAGACCTTTGAGAACAATTATTTGTTAAACAATCACCTTTTCATCCACTTCAAAGACAAAGATCTTAAAGAACTTCATTTAAAAACTTTCAAGGATCTCACGGACCGCTACGTATCCTCATTCTTTAAACAAAATTTTTAGTTACTTAACATTCCGATCGTGTCGGACTGTTGGTGATTAGACCCATACTGTACTTTTGCTTGGATGTCTTTTAACCCCTTGAGCGCCAGGGTTCTCCCCTCGACGAGTAAAATCTACAATAATTTTTTACAGTAGCTTGGATAAAATAATAAAGTAGGGAACTGCATTGCGCCCAAATGCGCCCTACTGTGTTATTTTACTCTGTCCAATGCCAGACAATTTTAGTTGGCCAAAGGTGAGAGCACCGGCAATCAATGGGTTAAACAGACTATCCACCAATGTTGAAGGGTCTTGTAAATGGAAATTATCAAGTGGAGATTTGTATACATTTATTAGATCTATTAACCAGGAACAGCTGCAAAATGCAACTATAGGTTCCTAGCAGAATCGAACCTGCGATTCCGATACAGCACTCTAACCAACTGAGCTACAGAGTCCAGTTGTCAAGTTCTAATCACAAGTCCATGTATATATACATATATATATATATATATATATATATATATATATATATATATATATATATATATATATATATATATATATATATATATATATATATATATATATATATATATATATATATATATATATATATATATATATATATATATATATGTATACTAGGGTACTTAGGGTACTGCCATGTTAGGTTACTTGGTAAATATCAAGATTTTATTGGCATCTCACTCGATTGAATAATAGTTGAAGGGTCTTGTAGATGGAAATTATCAAGTGAAAATTTATGTACATTTATTAGACAAGTCAAGACAATGTCCTGCCAGGGACCTATATAGTAATTAAGTGTTGAATTTTTCACAGCTGGTTAGGTGTAATAAATGTATATAAATTTCCAACACCTAACCAGCTGTGAAAAATTCAACCCTTAATTACTATATAGGTCCCTGGCAGGAATTGTCTTGACTTGTCTAATAAATGTATATAAATTTCCACTCGATAATTTCCATCTACAAGACCCTTCAACTATTAATTATCCAATCGAGTGAGATGCCAACAAAATCTTGATATTTATCCACTGATGTGTCTAGTTAATGCATCAAGTATTCAAGTTGCATTGCAGCCTAATAAGCTTTAGAATTATTCTGCTATTGTACTGTGTCTAACACCACCCAACTTTGCTTGTCAAGGGGAAAGCGGTGGTGGTTAAATTAATTAAGCATTATAATAGTGAACTTTACTGCTGAATCAATATAGATGACAATCCTACACATCGTCTCATAGCAATAAATATACACTTGGCTGTTGATCACGTTTTTGTTTTCATCAAATGAGATAACTAAAGATTATTCAAAATTAATTTAATTATGATTAACTATAAGTATTTTTTATGATTTACCTTTTGCATTTCGATTTCCTTGATACGATTCAACTCCTGTGGAGAAGTAATAATTATAAAAATGTTATAGAGCTGCCCTCATCAGTTCATTTTTGTAATTGATTTAACTTTACCCAACAATGGATACAGTATACAGTATCAAGTATTGATCTTTTTGCCATGAAAGTAATACCTCATCTGAGAACGCACATTGAAAATGCCATCATGGATTGATTAATTAACAGGGGGAGCTTACAGTATGGTATAATACCTTACGTTATTTAATGTTAACTGTTCAAAGATACATGTGCGTAAACAAACCTCCAACAACATATAAGAGTCCTACATTGGACTTTCTGGGCTTTGTTCGCAGGTTCTGCATTTGTGCACGTCTTTCGGGTAACAAATGATATTTCATTGCTTCTAACAAGAGGTCATTCCCACAATCACTAAGAGCAAATACAGGCGATTTCTCAACACGATCTGTAAGTAACTTGCAGCTCATTAACGGCAATCGAATATTCTCCAGCAACTGGCTGACAAATGGCTTTCGCTTTGCACAATCAAATTGAACCCATTTCTCCATCGCAGAGAACACATCTTCTTCCGTATTCACATTCAAATCATCACTAGCAAATAATTCCACTAACTGGTTCCCGTTAATAATTTGGAATTCCTTGCTTTCAATGACCTAAAAAAGGTATACGGACACAACAATTACTGTAATCAAATGACTATTCTATTCTGTGCTATTTATATTCCCCTACGTAAAAAAACCCACCCCGGGCCAAAATAGAGAGCTTTAGATTTGACAATGCGTATGTCCATGATGTCGAGATTCATTAATTGGATAGCACCACAGCCGGATTTTGAGGGGAGGTGCGCACCTCCCCTGAGATCGTTTTGCACCTCCCCTAAGAATTTTTGCACCTCGCCTTGGAAAAGTTTCAATCACAGATGAAAGTGAAAATTTGCTTAGGGTCTACACTTCGTAAGAAAGTTTTTCTGTAAAATTGAAACAGTGATAGCCATTCATCTCTGTGTCAAGTACCTTTTTAATGCACTGTTTCGAAAGAAACTTTGTAGTAATTGTAATGAAGGGCAAAATTGGATGAGTTGTACAGTCATATATAATTCATTAATACACTGATTCATACATATGTACACTACATGCATATGTCATGTCGTTGACTTCGATCTGTTCTAAGCCCTAACTTTCCATGGGGGTCGTGAGCTAAACCGCTGCACCTTCCCTAAATTTTTTTTCACCTCCCCCACTATTTCCGCCAAAATCCGGCCTTGGATAGCCCACATTTTTACACCACCTTCTTCGTACACTATCATGTACCAACACCATAGATATCTTATATACACTAGATAGCGCATCTCTTTTAGTAAAATTGAAGCCAAAAATATTCCAGCGGTTACCCCCATTTGAATAGATGGCGGCCATGTTGGTCGTTCCCACTTGCTAATAAACGCTTAAAAACAACAATAACTTTCATCATTTGAATAGTTTAAAAACGTATTTGCAATAGGATTAACTTAATGTTTAAGTTCCCTGTTTAAGAAATAGAAAACATACGAATCTTCTCATTTCATGGGAACGACCTGAGACTGCAATCACGGCTTCAATTTTTGAATTGCAGAATAATTAGATGCACTATCTAGTGTATATAAGATATCTATGACCAACACCTTTATAAATCAATATTGTAGCTGTGGCCAAATTGACAATGGGATTTTTGAAAAGTCTCATCCCCTTGAAAAACAAGTCAAAATTGAGGTCGGCAAAACAATGCCAACCTAAATCTGACCCAGGTCAGCAAGCAAAGGCAAAAAAAAAAAAACTTGGTTAGCATCCCTTCCCGACCAGTGAAAAAGCTCCCGACCCAACTTTTTTTATTTTATATTTACATTTGTCAGCAGTTGACTAGTGCTGGGTTGTGATATACACAACAGAGCTACAGTAGTCAACTGTTGATTGCTAGAAATCCTTGATATATTAATTCCCCGTTTACACTAGTGTACCGGATTCACATAACATCTTCGTTTGCTGCCCAGCCAGGAACAATGTTTAACAACAAATGTTTACTCTTTCGATAACGTCTGTATGTTTCTGCTTGTTACTACCATTATAAATGTTTAAGCTATTCCATTGACTGTTAAAACTGATGTTGTGACCAGCGAAAACGGAGCCCCTGGGAATTAGGCTGATTTTAGGTGCAAATAAAAAACCTTCCCCCATACCCAGATACCCTAAAATATAGGGGGAAAGGACGCTACTTAATAAACCAAGTTTGTTTTTTTTACTTGGCCTAATAATAACCTGCAGAAAGTTCTCCTTTGTGAAGTTATCCGCCGCTGCGAAAAGCTCTCCACAGCCATGGCCCTCGGCAAAAGCTCGTATTCCAAGACAGTTGGTTGAATGCAAATGTTGCTGCATAAACTCGCAACATCTGTGTTTCACATTCTCCACTTGCAATAAACATGCGACAGTCAGCAAGTTCTCGACATTATCAACGCGTATTTCAAGTTTTCCTGTGTAGGCATAATCTACAATGGCAGCCAAGGCATCTGGATCGACGTTTCTGATATGTATTACATCTTGAATAGTTTCGGCTAGATCGCCATTAAACATGGCGTCAAAATAATCACTAAATCCTGCCATAATCACACGGTGTGCCCGAATCTTTCTCTCGCCTGCCATTAAGGTTACATCACAAAGCTGAGTGTTCGTTCGAAAGGTATCCATTCTTTTGAATGTCGACAACAAGTCGTTTGGCGACGAGTAACGAAGTAAATCGTTGCTTTCATCCATATGCCGTCTTGGCAGGACACTAGCCAAAGACAATCGTTTATGTTCCCAGAAGTACTGAACCAGAAACGACAGCTTTCAAAAACAAACAAAAACTCAGTAACTCACAATTGTGATTAATTACCAGTTCGACATTTTTGAGTCAAAACAATATCCAGATAGTATTTGGAAATACGCTAAATAGGATACACCAGGAGTAGAGGGTGTTTCCACATCAAAACCGTTTTCAGAGGAATTTCAGAAAAATTTAAAATTTCATGCATCTTCCCGGCGCGAAGGCCGACTTCTTGGTTTTTCCTATGATTTTCCTATGTGAGATTAGAGTACCTTAGGCTGTACTAGGGTACATTAAACTACCTTAGGGTAGCTTGGCCCACCTTACGGTACCTTGGTCTACCTTGACCTCCCTTAGGCTGCCTTGGCCTCCCTTAGGGTACCTTGACCTCCCTTAGGGTACCTTGGCTTCCCTTAGGCTACCTTGGCCTACCTTAGGCTACCTTGGCCTACCTTAGGGTACCTTGGCCTCCCTTAGGCTACCTTGGCCTACCTTAGGGTACCTTGGCCTACCTTAGGGTATCTTGGCCTCCCTTAGGGTACCTTGACCTCCCTTAGGCTACCTTGGCATCCCTTAGGGTACCTTGGCCTCCCTTAGGCTACCTTGGCCTCCCTTAGGCTACCTTGGCCTACCTTAGGGTACCTTGGCCTACCTTAGGGTACCTTGGCCTCCCTTAGGGTACCTTGAACTCCCTTAGGCTACCTTGACCTCCCTTAGGGTACCTTGACCTCCCTTAGGGTACCTTGGCCTCCCTTAGGCTACCTTGGCCTACCTTAGGGTACCTTGGCCTACCTTAGGGTACCTTGGCCTACCTTAGGGTACCTTGGCCTACCTTAGGGTACCTTGGCCTCCTTAGGGTACCTTGACCTCCCTTAGGCTACCTTGGCCTCCCTTAGGGTACCTTGATCTCCCTTAGGCTACCTTGGTCTCCCTTAGGGTACCTTGACCTCGCTTAGGCCACCTTGGCCTCCCTTAGGGTACCCTGACCTCCCTTAGGGTACCTTGGCCTCCCTTAGGCTACCTTGGCCGACCTTAGGGTACCTTGGCCTACCTTAGGGTACCTTGGCCTACCTTAGGGTACCGTGGCCTACCTTAGCGTACCTTTATCAATCAATCAATCAATCAATCAAAATATTTAATCAAGGTACCTACGATCTATTTACAGGAGATAGGTCCTTGCAGGAGGATCGCAAGGTTAACCCTATATAAGAACCCCCTTAGAAAGGATTAGTAGATAAAAAGTGTTAATAGTATGTACATTAATGAGTGTATATTAGTAAACTAAGATAGACATATTAGTAAATTAGTAAATTAGCAAATTAATAAATATTCATGTGGCCCTTGAGTTCCTGCTTAAAACTATGAAAACTACTCGCTTCGACGACGTTCAGAGGCAAAGCGTTCCATGCAGTGACTGTTCTGACAAAAAAAGAATACTTATAAGAGTTAACTCTAGAAAGCTTGGTATATAGTGTATATTTGTGATTTGATCTGGTTTTCCTCGATTTCTTATATTCAAAAACTTCATCGAAGTTTATACCATTTAGGCCAAAAACTGTTTTATAGCACTCTATGAGAGATAAGTACTCTCTGCGTTTTTCCAAAGTATTCCATTTTAGTAAGACACAACGATCTGGGTAGGACACAGTTTAGTAAGACACAACGATCTTGGCCTACCTTAGGGTACCTTGGCCTACCTTAGGGTACCTTGACCTACCTTAGGGTACCTTGGCCTACCTTAGGGTACCTTGGCCTCCCTTAGGGTACCTTGACCTCCCTTAGGCTACCTTGGTCACCCTTAGGGTACCTTGACCTCGCTTAGGCCACCTTGGCCTCCCTTAGGGTACCCTGACCTCCCTTAGGGTACCTTGGCCTCCCTTAGGCTACCTTGGCCGACCTTAGGGTACCTTGGCCTACCTTAGGGTACCTTGGCCTACCTTAGGGTACCTTGGCCTACCTTAGGGTACCTTGGCCTCCCTTAGGCTACCTTGGCCTACCTTAGGGTACCTTGGCCTCCCTTAGGGTACCTTGGCCTACCTTAGAGTACCTTGGCCTCCCTTAGGGTGCCTTGACCTCTTTTAGGCTACCTTGGCCTCCCTTAGGGTACCTTGGCCTACCTTAGGGTACCTTGGCCTCCCTTAGGCTACCTTGGCCTACCTTAGGGTACTTTGGCCTGTCTTAGGGTACCTTGGCCTACCTTAGGGTACCTTGGTCTACCTTAGGGTACCTTTGCCTACCTTAGGGTACCTTTGCCTACCTTAGGGTACCTTGGTCTCCCTTAGGGTACCTTGGCCTATCTTAGGGTACCTTGGCCTACCTTAGGGTACCTTGGTCTACCTTAGGGTACCTTTGCCTACCTTAGGGTACCTTGGCCTACCTTAGGATACCTTGGCCTACCTTAGGGTACCTTGACCTACCTTAGGGTACCTTGACCTACCTTAGGGTACCTTGGCCTCCCTTAGGGTACCTTGGCCTACCTTAGGGTACCTTGGCCTACCTTAGGGTACCTTGGCCTATCTTAGAGTGTCTCAGAGTACCTTACTCTACCTTAGGGTACCTTAGCCTACCTTAGTGTACCTTAGTCTACCTTGGTCTACCTTAGGGTGCCTTGGCCTACTTTAGGTACCTTACCTTGCCAATAGGGTACCTAGCTTGACCTGCTTTAAGCCCCGTTTACACTACGCTCAATTTTTGGTACGGCACGGATAAAATTGGTACCCATACCACTTTTTTGGTTCTTGGACTACCTATTTAGGTAGTCCAGGAACCAAGAATTGGTACGGTACCAAAAATTGAACGTAGTATAAACGGGGCTTAGCTAAATAGCTGGTCCAAGAACAATAAAAGTGGTATGGGTACCAATTTTATCCGTGCCGTACCAAAAATTGAGCGTAGTGTAAACGGGGCTTTAGAGTACCTTAGCCTACCTAAGGGTACCTTGGCCTACCTTAGGATACCTTAGAGTACCTTGGAGTTAGTCTACCTTAGAGTACGGTAACTTTGCGTACTTTAGGGTACAACCATAGAAATAATAGATATCTATTATTTCTATGGGTACAACCTTGGAGTACCTTAGAGTGCCTTAACCTCCCTTAGAGCACATTAGCCTACATTAGCTTCCTTTAGAATACTTTAACAGGAATTCCTATCTGGACCAGCTAACTAGTGATCACTACTAGGCCATTGGCCTTTTTACTGAACCTT